GCTTCCCCCCTTGCCGCTGCTTTCTCCCCCTCGCCCGCTGCTCCTCCCTCTCGCCCGCTGCTGTTCCCCCTCCTTAGCTCGCTGTTTCTCCCCTTTTTTGCCGCCGCTTCCCCCCCCCTTGCCTCTACTCTCCCTCCCTTGTCGCCGATTTTCCCCCCCTTTGCCTCTTGCTTTTCCCCCCTTGTCCATGGCTTCCCCCCCCAAGCCACTGCTCTGTCCCTCCTAGCCCGCAGTTTTTCCCTCGCCTGCCCGCTGTCTTTCACCCTGTGCCGCTCATTGTCCCCCCAATGCACGGTGCTGAGCTGTTTTCCCCCACTTGCCCGCTGCTTTTCCCCCCTTGCCCGTTGCCTTTTTCCCCCTCGCCCGTTGCCTTTCCCTCACTCGCCCTTGCTCTTCCCCCCCTTACCCGCTGCTATTCCCCCCCACGGACGCTGTTTCTCCCCCCTCTGCCCACTGCTCTTCCCCCCTTGCCCGCCGATTTTCTCCCCCTTGCCCGTTGTTTTTCAGTCCCTTGCCCCTGCCTTAGCCCCCTTGCCCGCTGTTATTCCCCCCTTGTCCGCTGCTTTTCCCCCCTGTTCTGCTGCTTTTCCCCCCTTCGCCCGCTGCTTTTCCCCCCTTCTTTGCCTCGCTGCTATCATCCCCCCCCCCCCCCCTAGCCTCTGCTTTTCCCCACTTCACCTGCCCGCCGCTCTCCCGCTTCCCTGCCCGCTGCTCTCCCGTTTCCCTGCCTGCTGCTCCCCCCCACTTTCCCTGCCCACTGCTCCCCCCACTTTCCCTGCCCGCTGCTCCCCCGCTTCCCTGCCCGCTGCTCCCCGGCTTCCCCCACTCCCCCCCAGGTCTCCCCCCCTTTTTCCCCACCAGGCTTCCCCATATACCCCTCCAGTTTCCCCCTAGTACCTCCCTGTCTCCCCCACCCCTCTTCCCGGTTCCGTGATATCTCCCCCACTGTTTCCCAGGAGTCTGCCCTCCGTTTTCCCCATCCCTCCCCCCGTGCCCACTACTCTTCCCCCTCCTTGTCCACTGCTGTTCCCCCTCCTTGCCCACTGCTTGTCCCTACTTGCCCACTAACTCTACGCACTTACCCACACATTTTCTCTCCCGGCCCACGCGTTTCCCCCCCGTGCCCATTGCTTTTCCCCCGTGCCCACTGCCATTCCCCTCCTTGCCCCCCACTTTGGTCCAGTATCGTTCCCCCTCACTGCCCGCTGCTACTTTTCCCTGCTGCCTTTCCTCACGTGCCCGCTGCTTCTCCCCCTTGCCGCCGCTTTTCCCCCCTTGCCCGCTTGCTCTTCTACTCTCGCCAGTTGCTTTTCCCTTCCTTGCCCCTGCTTTTCCCCCCCTCGCCCGCGGTTATCCCCCCCCTTGTCCGCCGCTTGTCCCACCCCTTGCCCGCTGTTTTCCCCTCTTTGCCCGTTGCCTTCCCCTCCCTTGGCCCTGCCTTTCCCCCCATTGCCCGCTGTTATTTTCCCCCCATTACCCGCTGCTTTTCCCCCTGGCCTGTTGCTTTTCCCACTGGCCTGTTGCTCGCCCGTTGCCTTTCCCACCCTTGCCCGTTGCCTTTCCCCCCCCTTGCCTGTTGCTTTTCCCCCTTTGCCGCTCGTCTTCCCCCCTTACCCGCTGATTCTCCCCCCTTGCCCGCTGCTTTACCCTCTCTTGCCCCTGCTTTCCCCCCCTTGCCCGCTGTTATTCGCCCATTGCCAGCTGCTTTTCCCCCTGGTCCGCTGCTTCTCCTCCCTTGCCCGCCGCCATTCCCCCCCTGGCCCGTTGCTTCCCCCCCCCCCCCTGTGTTCCCGCTGCTTTCCCCCCCGCCTCCCCGCTGTTCTTCCCCCCCTGCCCGTTTTGCTGCCCATTTGGGTCCCACCCATCCTCCGGTCCTCTCTCCACTCCCGACCCTCTCCTTTGATTACCCACTTCCCCCCCGCTTTCCCCCATTTTCTTCGTGTTCCTCCCCCCTTTCCCCCCTTGGTTCCCCCACTCTTATCCCCGCCCGCTCTCCCCTACTGTCCCCCGTTGTTTCCCCCTCGTATTCTATCCTGCTTTCCACTCTTTTCCCCTTGTTTCCCCCTCCCTTCCCCCTAGCCCACTACTTTTCTCCCATTGCCCACTGCTTTTCCCCCCTTGCCCACCATTCCTCCCCCCATTGCCCACTGCCTTTCCCCTCCTTGCCCACCCCCTTCCTCCCCATTGCCCACTGCTGTTCCCCGCCCTGCCCTCTACTCTTCCCCCGCTGCCCACTGACCTTCCCCCTGGCCCACTGATTTCCCCCCCTTGCCCACTGCTCTTCGCCTCTTTTGCCCAGTGCGTTTTCTCCCTCTTCCTCGCTGCTTTTCCGCCCCTCGCCCTCTGATTTTCCCCTCCTTGCTCCCACCAACTCACACGTCAGTTTCCACCCCCGAAATCGTCCCGCCCCACACCCGGTGCTCTTCACTCCTCCCCCTCCTCTCCTTCCAGTTCCCCCTGTCCCTGCAGGCTGTTTCTTTCCATCTTGTCCTATCCCCGTTTCCCCACCTTCACCCCGTACGTCTCCCCACAGTCGAGCGCCATAACCCTCCTCTAATCGCCGCCCCCTGTTCTCTCCCTATCCTCCCCCCCCCTGTCCCCCTCCCCACTCCACGCAGTTTCTCTGATCTCACCTTCTTTCCCCGCTGTTTTCCTCCCTCCCTTCCCCCCCTGCTTCCCCCTCCTCCCCCTCTTCTAGCATGCAGTCCCCGTGGCCATGACCCACACCCCCTGCAATGCGGGGGAGGGCGGCCCCGGTGCTCTCCGACGGTCAGGCAGAGCCGGTGGCCGCCCTTCCCCCTACTCATCGTCTTCCATCCCCCCACCCAACAGTATCGCCCCGCCAGCCCGCGTCGAGGTGACCGTCGGCAAGGGCGGGGACCAGGTGCGCTCTGCCTCGCGAGGCCGGAAACGACCACGGGAGAAGGCAGAGGAAGGCCCCGCCTCACGCCTGGAGAAGCAGGAGCGCGAAGCCACACGCTCGCGCTCCCATGGTCGCAAAAAGTCATCTGCCCCCCCTCCGCCACTCCCACAGGCCAACACTAGCGCCAGGAGAGCCCCCACCTCCTCCACACCCATGGCCACAGGTAGCAAGGCTGGCACAGGTGAGGCCGCAGCAGGGCCTGTGGCAGGGGAGGGGGATGCGGCAGCACCGGGGGGTCCTGCAGAGGTGGCAGCAGAGATGGGGGTGTGGGAGGTGAAAGTGGGGGTGACGGAGAGGGAGGAGGGGGAAAGATCGGCAGAGACGGTGGGGGCTGGTGAGGACTCAGAGTGGGACGAGGCCGGGGACTCGGATGGGGACAACGCGAAGGACTCGGATTGGGTTTTGGAGGGCGCCGAGGACTCGGATGAGGACGTAGTTGAGCTCATAGCACCCGCTCCTAGTGCAGCCAGGCTCGAGGCCGTGTCCTCAGCAGGGGAGCCAGCGACGGGAGCCGTGGGGTTGGCAGGAGCGGCAGCTGGAGCGGAGGCGGAGGGGGAGGTGGCACGGGCTGGGGTAGAGAGGGCAGCATTAGAGGGTATGGCCCGGGCCTATGCGCGGTCCATGGCCGCATGTGGTGCGGCGCCGGAGGCAGCAGCAGGAGAGGCTGCAGGTGTGGCAACTGCAGGGGCGGTTGCAACAGTGACAGCCATCAGGACCGCGGCAAAGGAGGCTGCCGCAGGAGTCACCGCAGGGGGTACTCCAGCGGAAGCTGCTATGGCAGAGGCGGAGGCAGGAGAGGCTGCATGGGGGAAGGTGGAAAAGGCGGCTGCAGAGGCGGCAGCAGCACGGGCTGTAGCCGCAGGGGGAGGAACGACAGCCGTGGTGGGAGGGGCGGCTGTGGGGGCTGCCGCAAAGGTCTTTGCAGAAGTGGCAGCAGCTCCAGCACCGGCAGAGGCGCAGGCACCTGGGCCAGCTGCAGCGGGGGCGGCAGAAGGAGACCCTGCAGAGGTAGCAGCCGCTGGGGGTGGGGCCGCTCCAGAGTTGGCAGCAGCCGGGGGGGTGGTCGCGGCGGCGGCAGCGACAGCTGGGGCTGCAGCAGAGACGGTGGCAGCGGGAGCATGGGCAGCGGCGGCAACAGCTGGGGCCTCCGCGGAGGAGGCGGCAGCAATGGATCATGCAAGAGGTGCATCGGCTCGGGCTCGGGCTCGGGATGCGGCAGAGGCAGCAGCAGCAGGGGCCACAGGGGCAGCCGGGGCGGATTTGGGGGCAGCAGCAACAGCAGGCGCCCCTGCAGAGGCGGCAGAGGCGGGAGCAGCGGCGGTGCAGGCGGCGACAGCGGCAGGAGCTGGAGCTGCCACCGCAGAGGAGGCAGCAGCAGCCGATCTTGCGAGGGGCGCAGCGACCGGGGCTCGGGATGCCGCAGAGGCGGTGATGGCTGGGGCCGCTGCAGCGGCCAGGGTGGCTGCCGGGGAAGCAGATGAAGGAGTCCCTGCTGAGGCGGCGGGGGCAGGGACAACGGCAGAGGCCAGCAGCAGCAGCAGCGGCAGCAGCAGCAACAGGAGCACGTGCAGGGGCGGCTGCTGGTGCGGCAGGGATAGGAGAGCCGCCGGAGGCGGCAGCAGCGGCAAGGCTACCTACGGCGGAGGAGGCAGGAAAGGGAGCTGTTGTACGCGCTCTCGCACGGGCTATTACCGGGGGGGGGATGTATGCACGTCTGGCAGCTGCTGCGGCAGCAGCGGAGGAGGCAGAGATAGGGGCCGCTGCGGGGAAGGCAGCCAGGGGGAGCGCCACAGGGAAACCAGCAGCAAGTGCTGCGGCAGGGAAGGCAGCAGCGGGGCAGCGGCAGGGAAAGTAGCAATGGGTCCCGCTGTTTCGCAGGCAGCGGCTAGCAGGGCCGCGACAGCGGCGGCGGCGGCAGCGGCGGCGGCGGCGGCTGTGGTGGTGTCAGCGGAAAAAGGGGCAGCAGGGGGTGCCGCACCGGGGCAGCAGCGGAAGCGGCCGCAGGGAAGGTAGCAGCAGGATCAGCAGGGCGTGCCGCGGGGGGAGACAACCGCCGGGGTAGCTGCGGGGATGGCAGCAACAGGAAGGGCAGCTGGGGTGGCAGCAGGGAAGGCAGCAACAGCAGCAACACGGGCAGCGGCAAGAGGTGCTGCACGGGAGAGGGCAGCGGGAGCCGCTGCAGGAAGGGCAGCAGCTGCGGCAGCTCCAGCAGGAGGTGTGGTGAGAGAGACAGCAGCCGGAGCGGCTGAAGGTAAGGCAGTAACTGGGATGAGGGCTAAGGAGGCCGGACACAGGGCAGCACCTGGGCCGGAAGAGACTGTCTCATCCCCTCCCACCCCCCATCTCCCCCCTCCCCCCCTCCTTCCCCTCCTCCCCCTACTTCCCTTGCGGTCCCCGTCCCCCCTTCCCCCCCCTACTCCCAATCCCATGCATGCAGGGCTTCACCAGCGGCGCAGGGCCCTCGCTGTGGGCTACAACCCAGGGCTATGGGCGGGGCGGCCCGAGCCTTGGCGTTTTTGGCGGACCCCTGTACACCCGAGCCAATGATCGGGACGCAGTCTCACCACTCCCTCTCCCCCCACACCCTCCCCTTACAGCCGAGTGTGCCCCAGGAGGCGGCCGCCGAGGATGGCTCGGACAATGATGGCCCGCTCGCCGGATATATCTTGGTCGACTCAACCCTTCCTTGCTCTCCCTCAGCAGCCCTCGCGCCGGCGCCAGGAGCACAAACAACAGCCGGGCAGGTTGCTCCTCCCCTCCCCACCCACGCAGGCTGTCGCGCCGGACGCCTCGACCTGGGTAGCACAAGGAGGGGCGGCTCTTGCCCAACCCCCCTCGTCAGTCCGCCCCAACCCTGTTCCACCCCAGGTGCCTCCCGCCCGGCACAGGGCACACACCCTGTCGGCCACACGGGCGCTTCCCATAGGAACGGTGAGCGGGGTGCACCCCTCGCAAGGGGGAGCAACCCGAATCAACTCCCTCTCGGCCCTCGCCGTCTCACCCCGGCTGATCCCACTTCCCAAGCCCCACAGCTAAGCTTCGGGCAAGGCGGGGGTCCCTCGGCGCCCACTCTGCTTCCCTTCCCGGCCGGTGGGCCCTACCTTGCCCGCGCCCCGCCCCCCCCCCTCCCTCTCCCACACATCCCACCCGCCCCCTTTCCCCGGCAATCCAGCCGGAACTCCCCTCGCGCCCTTTCGTGCAGCCCCCAGGTTTCATGTCCCGCACGGCAGGCGACCACGGGAGTGCCTCCCTCTTGGGCCCTCCCTTGTCACTTCCGTCTCACACACCCTCCAGCCCAGCGCTGGGGCACCCACCCCTCCCACCCCCTCCATTGAGCGTCCCACCCACGCTTAACCCTTACCCTGCTGCCCAACCACCTCTCTTGCCCTGCCCCCCCACTCCCGCCCGGCCCATCAGCGCGAACAGGGGCGAGGCGAGGGCGGCCCCCCCATCTCACCCTCCCCCTTCCTGCCCCACACACTCCTTGCCCGTCAGTATTCAGGTGGTCGCAGCGAGCCACCCATCCGCGATGGACGTCGACAAAATAGGAGTAGGGGACCTGCATGATGTCTCCTCCCAACCCTACATCCCCCCTTTCCGTCGCTCCGCACAGGCAGCGATGTCGGCAGACGCCCAGGGGGAAGGGGACGGGGAAGGTGTCGGGGGAGGGCGGGGCATTGCGGATGGTGCTGCCGATTCCACCACCGCCACCACCCCTCACTTTCCCCCCCTGTCCCCATCTGCACCCGCCCCAGGGCAAGCCGCCATCCATGCGCAGGCTAGCCATCGCGGCAAGCGGCCATCGGCGGCCACACCCCCTCACCCTCCCAGCTGCCCCATTCTCACACTCCTCACCCACAGCAGGGGGCGGTCACACGGCAGCCGCTGATTGGACAGTTTGCCCAACCCCACACAGGTCGCCGGAAGAAGGGCAAGGGCACGGGACACCCGGGGCAGCCCGGCGCTCGGAGCAGCCGGACACGACTCCACCCTCTGCTGGCGTGCAGCCCTTACCATCCACCACCCCTCAGGCGACCCCATCATTGCCCCCGGCCCGCCACCCACTGCCTCCCATAACCAGGATGGCGAGCTTCGGACGGTCTCCCTCCCTCACCCCACCCAGGCCCCACTCCCCTGTCACCCACCCATCCCGCCATTGGCCCCCCACCAGACGGTCGCCGCCGATGCCCCATCCGCGATGGAAATCGAACCGGAGGCGGAAGAGGTGTCGTTAGCCTCTCGCAAGCAAGCCTATATCCCCCCCCAGCGTCGGTCCCTACCACCCGCCTCTTTGTCCCCCTCCGGTCCACAACCTCCGACCCAGGTCAGGGCCCACGGTGGTTCGCCCACCACGACCAACCAGCCTGCCCTGCTCCCCCTACCCACAGGCGGACAGTCGCAGGGGGCAGATGGGGAGACGGAGGCGGCAGTTGCCGACCTTCTCAGGATATGGGACACGTCCGCCACCCCCTCTACGCCCGCTTGTCCGGGTCGGGTGGGGGGGGCACCGTGGACTCTGCCCCAGACATCTCCCATGCCCCCCCCTCCCCCCGTCCACCGCCCTCACACCGGAGCGCATGGTGATCGATGACTCCGACGCGGCCCCCGACCACCCGCTCCCCTCCCCCAGGATGCAGGGGCCGCACCTAGGCCCTCGGGGCCCCCGCCGATCCCTCCCCCTCTTTCGACATCGCCGCCGCCCGCTGACCCCCGTCCGACCCCAGGTGGCAGGTGAGCCTCCTTCCCCGAGGGCGGGCGACTATCGACCGGACCCGGTCGTCGAGCCGGCCGCCTCCACCGCGAGCTCTGACGATACCGCCCACACCGATCACGCGGACGAGTCCACGCCAGCCCATGAGGTGAGATGTCCCACGTGTCTGAACCTCATGGCGGACGATAGAGCTCTCCGCCACCACACACCTCACTGCACCCCGAGCGATGAGGCACGCCGTGTGCAGGCCCGCCAGGAGGCCGCCTCGGTCGGCGGGTCACTCTCACGCCCGGGTTCATCTGTCCCGGTCTTTTCCGACGCGCAGTGGGCGCAGCTGGACTCTGTGGATTGGAGGGAGTATTTCTCTCCGTCCCGGACGCATGCTCGCCCGCTCCGGCGCATTCCGCCGAGGGTCCGCGGAGGCATCTCTGATGTCCTCCGCGCGATCACCGCCCGTATGGAGCAGTATCCGGATGCCGACGGGCCCCACTTCTTGTTCACGGCGGTGCCGACGCTGTTCTTAGCGCCAGCTACTCCACCAGAGCGGGGCCACACAGCTTCCATCGCGGCTCGCGTCGCGCGCTTCTTCCGAGGTGAGTGGGACTCTCTCTTCTCCGACGCGCTGCGTCGTCGCACGCCCCTGCCCACCCGCACATCACGTCGCACCCCCGTCACCACCACGTCGGGAGACGAGCGTCGGATTGCGCGTTGCCTGCGCTTGGCAGCGTGCAACGAGACATCTCGTGCGTGCGCGGCACTGGAGTCGGCCGAGGCGGCTCCAGACACGGATCGCACGGTGCATAGCCTACGGGCTAAGCACCCTAGCGCGGAGCGCCCTCTACCGGAGTGGCTCTCCACCTTCCACGAGGACGGCCTCGTGCTCTCTGCCACCCACTTGCGCCAGGCCATTTCACTGCACCGCGGGGGCTCGTCGGGGGGACCGGACCGGATGGGTGGCAGAACACCTCCGTGACACCTACTTGGCATTCCCACAGACCCTACCCTCCTTGCTGTCTGTGTACCAGCTCTGGCTCGGAGGACGCTGCCCCTCAGCTGCGCGTTCTCTTTTGGCCTCGTCCACCCTTGTGGCTCTCGCGAAGCCGAACGGGGACGTGCGGCCGATCGCCATTGGAGAGGTGCTCGTGCGCGTCCTCTCCCGCGCAGTCTGCCTCCAGCTCCGCGACCAGATGGCGAGAGTGTTCCTCGCGTCACAGCAGTTCGGAGTCGGGGTCACGTGTGGCACAGAGGTCACCGTTAGAGGCGTTGTCCGCGCTCTAGCTGACCACCCAGGCTGGGTGGTTCTGCAGCTGGACGTGGCCAACGCCTTTAACTCTTTCTTTCGCGACGTCTTGTTCCAGGCACTGCATGCCAGTCCTGAGTTCAGGTGCCTCATTCCTTTCATCCGTCTTTTCTACGGCACGCCGTCCGATCTGCTCTATCGGACCGGCAGGGGAGTCACCACGATGCACTCGGAGCGCGGCACTCGGCAGGGAGACCCGCTGAGCCCGTTTCTCTACGCCCTCACGCAGCGCCTTGCCCTGGAGCCCGTCCTGGCAGGGGGTGACGTCCAGCTCTGGTCGTACGCCGACGACACCTACCTCGTGGGCCCTCCGGACAGGGTGCTGCACCACTTCACGGGGTCGTGAGGCGCTTGGGCGGGTTGGGCCTTGCTGTCCAGCCGCACAAGTGCCTTGTCCATCACACGTCGGTGATCCTGCCTCGCGACGTGCAGGCTTTCACCGATCTGGGCATCGAGGTCGCACGCCGGGGGCTCACCGTGACGGGCGTCCCGGTTGGCACCGAGACCTTTGTGACGACCAGCCTGCGGGACCGACTGGAGAGGATGGCCGGGGTGCTGCCGTGGCTCCCGAGGCTGCGGCAGCCACAGACAGCGGCGCGCCTGCTCTCCGCGTGTGTCAGCACACGTCCGCAGTACTTGGCGCGGACAGTCCCCCCATCACCAGAGGTACGTGCCATCTTTGCAGCGTGGGACGCGCGCTTGGGAGCGACCTTCCAGCAGCTCCTGGTGCGAGGTACGTGGAGGGAGGGGGACGCGATCTGCGGGGCAGCCCTGGAGCAGGCTTTCCTCCCGATTCGCATCGGGGGCTTCGGCATCCGACGCATGGAGCGCATCGCCCCGGTGAGTTATCTCTGTTCGTGGGCGCAGTGCGCACCGATTCTCTGCTCGTTGCCGTCGGTGGGGGAGGGCTTCCGTCAGAGCTTCGCATCAGGTGAGCCCGCCCAGATCGATCCGCACATCATGATGGCTCAGGAGGCCCTGCCGGCGGACGTCCTACGCCTCATGCCGGCCTGGCCTTCTTGCGCGACAGGAGCACCGGACGGCCTTTTCAGAGAGGCCAGCAGACACATCGAGGCGCACGCTTTGGAGTCGGTACGTGCCCGTCATACTGATCCCCTGCATCTTGCCCGTTTGACATCCCTTCAGGGTCCAGGTGCGGGAGCTTGGCTTACGGCGGTACCCTACGCGGACTCCCTGCGCATTCCGGAGGCGCAGTGGCAGGTGGCTTCATGCTTTCGTCTCGGTCTCCCCATTCCCCAGTTAGTCCTGGCAGGTCAGTGCTCGTGCGGAGAGGAGATCGCCGACATGTCGGTGCCGCATCACGCGGTGAGGTGCGCGCGCTTCGCGGTCGCCACGACCATCCACGACACAGTGAAGTTCATGCTTCGTGACTTCGCAGACGAGGCCGGCTTCGCTGTCCAGGTGGAGGACACGGCGCTCATTCCGCACCTGGAGGCGGCGCGAGCTCGACTGCAGGTTTTGCACGCGGGGGAGGGGCAGGGGCAGGAGCGGGCACGACAGACAGGACGGCAGCAGCGGCGGATCAGGAGGGGGGGAGAGGCAGGCGGGTGAGGAGGGAGAGAGGCAGGGGGCGGAGGAGGAGCAGGAGGGGCAGCAGCGGCGGTTCGGCAGGAGGATCAGCAGCAGCAGCAGCAGCAGCAGCAGCAGCAGCAGCCGCAGCCAGAGCAGCAGCAGCAACAGCAGCAGGGCACGGGGGAGAGCCGGCGGGAGGAGGAGCAGCAGCAGCAGCGGCAGGGTGGCGGAGAGGGGCAGCAGCGGCGCGCGGGGGGAGAGGGGCAGGTACAGCAGCCGCTGGGAGCTCAGGCAGGGCCGCAGCAGGGGGCCCAGGCAGGACAGCAGCAGGGGACAGGGGACGGGCTCTTGGGCAGGGCACCGCCGAGGCGTGTGCGTTTCGCGCGCGAGGCGGTAGGAGAGGCGCACGCGGAGGGGAGGACAGGCGAGGGTGGGCTAGAGGGGTCGGTAGTAGGCGGGGGTATAGGAGGGACGGAGGGCGGGAGGGGAGGGGGGCGGGAGGGAGAGAGGAGATGGCGGAAGGGGCGGGGGTGGCAGGGGGAGTGGGGGAGGGAGAGCGGGAGGGAGGAGAGGGAGGGTGAGAGGGGGAGTTGGGAGGGGACCACGACGACCAGAGGAGGGACATCAGGGGACCAGACAGAGCAGCAGCCCGCGCAGCAGCAGCAGACGCCAGCCGCTCGCACAGGCCGCATAGGGGCACCCGCCCGCATTCCCGACCTCACCTGCAGGGCGCCGCGAGATGCTTTGATGGTGATTGTAGACGTCTCGGTGGCAGACCCACAGCGGGAGGGGAATGCGCAGTTCAGGCGGATGGCACCCACTCAGATTGGCGGCGCAGCAGCTAGGCGGGTGCAGGACAAGCTGCGACACTGGAGGCCGGTGTTACAGGGGTTGCAGCCGGATCCAGAGTTTTACGCCTGCGTAGTGGAGACTTTTGGTGCCTGAGTGAGCCACTGCGGCAGTTCCTAGGGCTGTGTGCATCGCGGACAGCACGGCGGAGGAGAGATTCAGGGGCAGGGGATGACGGGTCGGCACGGATATTTGAGACGAGCCTCACTACGCGTCTCTCCGTGGCACTGCAGCGCGCGCAGGCAAATGTGATCATGCAGCATGCAGTGCGGCAGCTGGGCGGCTCCGACAATGGATGGATGCCAGCGCCTGTACCTTTGGGCGCTGGGCAGGGGAGTTGGCACCACATCACAGGGTGCTTCGAGAGTGCAGCAGATATGCAGTACATGTATGATGCATATGTGTAGAAAAACATATATAGGCCGTGCTTGAGACGCTGTGCCCGCGCTGTCGCGTGGGCTGTTGTTTTGTTAGGTCCCAGGATGTCCCTTTGATATAGTCACACCCCCCCTCCCCTCTTCCCCTCTTCTCTTTCTCTCCTCTATCTCGCTCTCTTCTCCCCCACTCTTTCTGCTACCTTCTTCCTTCCACTATCTTCTCTTTCTTTCCTTCTCTATCTCTTCTCTCTCTCTTTTTTCTTCTATACCTCTAAACGCTACTATGTCATAATAGCGCAACGCTCATGCCGAAAATCTCATATTTGGCTTTAGAATTGCTATATGACTTGTAACCCTCGTTATTTTTAATGAGAAAACTGCTCTCGCCCACTGGCGCTTAGCTGCGGAGTTCTGATGGGATCCGGCGTAGTAGCCAAGGTATGATCGTACCACGTGCAGTCCTGTCCGCGGTCCGCTTCCACTCCTCCCCTGATGCAGCTCCTCTTTATAGTCACATCCCGGCGGCCCGCAAGAGGCTCGCCATCTCGCTGGGCGGAATGGACGCCCATACGTAGTCGCGCTCGTGGCGTCCTATGCAGAGAGGCCCTCGCAGAGCGGGCGACATCGCGCCCGGCGGTTCGGAGAGAATCCTCCTTTCTTTTCCCACTGCCCCCTCCCGGCACGGAGCAGCAGAAATGGTACGACACGGGACTTCCCGGAGGTCCCCTGCCCAGAACTCTCCGCCACTGGCGCACGCTGCGGAGTTCTGATGGGATCCGGCGTAGTAGCCAAGTATGATCTACCACGTCAATCCTGTCGCGGTCCGCTTCCCACTCCTCCCCGAGCAGCTCCCCTCTTATAGTCACATCGGAACGTCCCGCAAGAGGTCGCCATCTCGCTGGGGCGGATGGCGCATACGTAGGCGCTCCGTGGCGTCCTATGCAGAGAGCGGCCCTCCGCAGAGCGGCGCGACATCGCCGCCCGGCGGTTCGGAGAAGAATCCTCCTTTCTTTTTCCCACTGCCCCCTCCGGGCACGGGAGCAGGCAGAAATGGGTACGACACGAGGACTTCCCGGGAGGTCACCCATGCCCAGAACTGCTCTCGCCCACTGGCGCTACGCTCGGAGTTCTGATGGGATCCGGCTTAGTAGCCAAGGTATGATCGTACCACGTGCAGTCCTGTCCGCGGTCCGCTTCCCACTCCTCCCCGAGGCAGCTCCCCTCTTTATAGTCACATCCGGCGTGCCCGCAAGAGGCTCGCCATCTCGCTGGGCGGAATGGACGCCCATACGTAGTCGCGCTCCGTGGCGTCCTATGCAGAGAGCGGCCCTCCGCAGAGCGGCGCGACATCGCCGCCCCGGGCGGTTCGGAGAAGAATCCTCCTTTCTTTTTCCCACTGCCCCCTCCCGGGCACGGAGCAGGCAGAAATGGTACGACACGAGGACTTCCCGGGAGTCACCCTGCCAGAACTGCTCTCGCCACTGGCGCTTAGCAGGGGCTTCACCAGCGGCGCAGGGCCCTCGCCGTGGGCTACAACCCAGGGCTATGGGCGGGGCGGCCCGAGCCTTGGCGTTTTTGGCGGACCCCTGTACACCCGAGCCAATGATCGGGACGCAGTCTCACCACTCCCTCTCCCCCCACACCCTCCCCTTACAGCCGAGTGTGCCCCACGAGGCGGCCGCCGAGGATGGCTCGGACAATGATGGCCCGCTCGCCGGATATATCTTGGTCGACTCAACCCTTCCATGCTCTCCCTCATCAGCCCTCGCGCCGGCGCCAGGAGCACAAACAACAGCCGGGCAGGTTGCTCCCTCCCCCTCCCCACCCACGCAGGCTGTCGCGCCGGACGCCTCGACCTGGGTAGCACAAGGAGGGGCGGCTCTTGCCCAACCCCCCTCGTCAGTCCGCCCCCAACCCTGTTCCACCCCAGGTGCCTCCCGCCCGGCACAGGGCACACACCCTGTCGGCCACATGGGCGCTTCCCATAGGAACGGTGAGCGGGGTGCACCCCCGGCAAGGGGGAGCAACCCGAATCAACTCCCTCTCGGCCCTCGCCGTCTCACCCCGGCTGATCCCACTTCCCAAGCCCCACAGCTAAGCTTCGGGCAAGGCGGGGGTCCCTCGGCGCCCACTCTGCTTCCCTTCCAGGCCGTGGGCCCTACCTTGCCCGCGTCCCGCCCCCCCCTCCCTCTCCCACACATCCCACCCGCCCCCTTTCCCCGGCAATCCAGCCGGAACTCCCCTCGCGCCCTTTCGTGCAGCCCCCAGGTTTCATGTCCCGCACGGCAGGCGACCACGGGAGTGCCTCCCTCTTGGGCCCTCCCTTGTCACTTCCGTCTCACACACCCTCCAGCCCAGCGCTGGGGCACCCACCCTTCCCACCCCCTCCATTGAGCGTCCCACCCACGCTTAACCCTTACCCTACTGCCCAACCACCTCTCTTGCCCTGCCCCCCACTCCCGCCCGGCCCATCAGCGCGAACAGGGGCGAGGCGAGGGCGGCCCCCCATCTCACCCTCCCCCTTCCTGCCCCACACACTCCTTGCCCGTCAGTATTCAGGTGGTCGCAGCGAGCCACCCATCCGCGATGGACGTCGACAAAACAGGAGTAGGGGACCTGCATGATGTCTCCTCCCAACCCTACATCCCCCCTTACCGTCGCTCCGCACAGGCAGCGATATCGGCAGACGCCCAGGGGGAAGGGGACGGGGAAGGTGTCGGGGGAGGGCGGGGCATCGGACGGTGCTGCCGATTCCACCACCGCCACCACCCCTCACTTTCTCCCCCTGTCCCCATCTGCACCCGCCCCAGGGCAGGCCGCCATCCATGCGCAGGCTAGCCCATCGCGGCAGCGGCCATCGGCGGCCACACCCCCTCACCCTCCCAGCTGCCCCATTCTCACACTCCTCACCCACAGCAGGGGGCGGTCACACGGCAGCCACTGATTGGACAGTTTGCCCAACCCCACACAGGTCGCCGGAAGAAGGGCAAGGGCAAGGGGACACCCGGGGCAGCCCGGCGCTCGGAGCAGCCGGACACGACTCCACCCTCTGCTGGCGTGCAGCCCTTACCAGCCACCACCCCTCAGGCGACCCCATCATTGCCCCCGGCCCGCCACCCACTGCCCTCCCATAACCAGGATGGCGAGCTTCGGACGGTCTCCCTCCCTCCTCACCACCCAGGCCCACTCCCCTGTCACCCCCCCATCCCGCCCTGGCCCCCACCAGACAGTCGCCGCCGATGCCCCATCCGCGATGGAAATCGAACCGGCGGTGGAAGAGGGTCGTTAGCCTCTCGCAAGCAAGCCTATATCCCCCCCAGCGTCGGTCCCCACCACCCGCTTCTTTGTCCCCCTCCGGTCCACAACCTCCGACCCAGGCCAGGTCCCACGGTGGTTCGCCCACCACGACCAACCAGCCTGCCCTGCTCCCCCTACCCACAGGCGGACAGTCGCAGGGGGCAGATGGGGAGACGGAGGCGGCAGTTGCCGACCTTCTCAGGATATGGGACGCGTCCGCCACCCCCTCTGCGCCCGCTTGTCCGGGTCGGGTGGGGGGGCACCGTGGACCCTGCTCCAGACATCTCCCATGCCCCCCTTCCCCCCCGTCCACCGCCCTCACACCGGAGCGCATGGTGATCGATGACTCCGACGCGGCCCCCGACCACCCCCTCTGCCCAGACGCATCCACTGCTCCAGCTGCCCACACCCCAGCTCCTACGTCCCCCGGCGAGGCCACTGAGCTAGCCTGCCATCCAGACGCATGCCCCGCCCTAGCCACTGTCCCCTTGGTCGTACCATCCTCACCCACGCCGCGCATCCCGCCGTCGCTCCTCCCCCCGGCCATTGCCTTGCCCGCCCCAGACGCACGGCCCGCCCCCACTTGGGCCACCGACCTCGGACAGGGGCCCATCGAAGAGGCGGTCGTCGGCGCTGATAGCTCGGAGAGCACGATGCCAGTCCCCCCGCACGACACAGCGGTGCCGACAGGAGGACTAGCGGTCACGTGTCCTACCTGCCGGAGCACCTTGGTGAGCAGCCACGCTCTTGCTCTCCATGCACCCCATTGCCAGCCCGCCGATGCTCTACGCAGGGCGAGGCCCTGCAGGATGCCACCTCTTCCCCTCCCTCATTCAGCGAGCCACGCGCCTCCGTCGTCACATTCTCGGACGTCCAGTGGTCGTCCTTGGATGCGGTCGATTGGACGGATTATTTCTCACCGAGACGCATGCATGCTCGCCCGCTCCGGCGTAATCCCGCCGAGGGTTCGCGGGGGGTACGTGGATGTCCTCTGCGCGATCTTGCAGCGCATCAGCCAGCACCCCAGGGCGGGCGGGCCGACGTTTCTGCTGTTGGCCATCCCGACCCTCCTCCTCACGCCCGCTACACCACCTGCACGATCACATACGGCGGCCATCACTGCGCGCATTGCGCGCTTCCTTGGTGGAGATTGGGACCCCTCATAGCAGAGGCGCTCCACCGCCGCACACCCCCTCGCGGCATGCACGACACGCCGCGCCCCGCGCCGCGACTCCGACGCCTGACGAGCGCCGCATTGCCCGTTGCCTCCGCCTGGCAGCGTGCAATGAGACGTCACGTGCTTGTGCGGCCTTGGAGTCGGCAGAGGCGGCCCGGACGGAGATCAGACGGTGCACCGCCTACGGGCGAAGCACCCTTGCGCGGAGCGCCCCATCCCAGCATGGGTGGCCTCCTTCCGGGATGCAGCCCTGGTCCTGAGCATTGAGCATTCTGCGCAGGGCCATTTTCACCGCTCCGAGGGGCTCTTCGGGAGGACCTTCGGGATGGTGGCCGAGCACTTCCGCGACACCTTCTTGGCCTTCCCGAAGGCCCTCCCTACCTTGCTTGCTGTCTACCAGCAGTGGCTCCGGGGCGACTGCGCCCCGGCCGCACTTCCCATGCTGGCATCATCCACCCTCGTCGCGCTCTCCAAGCCGAACATGGACGTTCGGCCGATAGCCATAGGCGAGGTCCTTGCGCGCCTACTCCAGCGGGCGGCATGCCTGCAGTTGCGCGAGCCGATGGCTCGAGTCTTTCTACCATCACAGCAGTTCGGGGTCGGGGTGACCTGCGGTACTGAGCTGGTCGTTAGGGGCGTCCGTCGCGGCAGGGCGGACCACCCGGACTGGGTGGTCGTCGAGCTCGACGTGGCGAACGCCTTTAACTCGTATCACCGCGATCGCTTGTTCGAGGCACTGCGAGCGAGCTCCGAGTTTCGCTGCCTCATCCCTTTCGTTGCCCTTTTCTACGGCACGCCATCCTCGCTGTTCTTTCGGACCGGGCGAGGAGTCACCACCATCCGCTCAGAGCGAGGATCTCGTCAGGGCGACCCTCTGAGCCCATTTCTCTTTGCCCTGACACAGAGGCTGGCACTGGAGCCAGTGCTGGCGGACGGGGACGTGCAGCTGTGGTCATACGCGGATGACACGTACGTCCTGGGCACACCAGAGAGGGTGTTGCAGAGCTTCACTGCCATTCAGAGGCGCTTGGGCGAGCTGGCCTCTCGGTCCAGCCGCACAAGTGCCTGGTCTAACCCAGCGGCGTCCACACGACCGGAGGAGTTGGCAGGCTTCACCGCCCTCGGCCTCGATGTCGCGCGCCGGGGTTTGACGGTTGCGGGGGTGCCTGTCGGCACGGAGGATTTCGTCCACACGAGACTCAGGGAGCGCCTGGAGCGGATGGCCCGAGTGCTGCCGTGGCTGCCTAGGTTGCGTGACCCCCAGGTGGCTGCGCACCTGCTCTCAGCATGCGTCAGCACGCGCCCTCAGTACCTAGCGCGCACGGTCCCGCCCACACAGGCGGTGCGCTCCATCTTCGCGCGCTGGGACGATGGCCTCGGCGAGGCCTTCCAGCGGCTATTCGTCGCGGGCACCTGGAGCGGAGGAGGAGAGATACGCGGCGCGGCCTTGGACCAGGCATTTCTGCCCATTAGGCTGGGCGGATTCGGCATCCGCCGCATGGCGCGCGCGGCGCCAGCGAGCTACCTCTGCTCCTGGGCGCAGTGCGCCCCATCCTCTGCTCCCTCCCACAGATCGGTGAGTCCTTCAGACGGGCGCTCGCGGCGGATGACCCCGCAGGGATCGATCCCCACATCGCGACGGCTTTGGCAGACCTCCACCGTCAGTCCGGGCCTTGCTGCCACCCTGTCCTCTTGCATCTCGAGCGCGCCGGACGGTCTGTTTTCTGAGGTGAGTCGGCACCTAGAGGCGGCGGCATTAGAGTCCGTTCGTGGACGTCACACTGACCCTTTGCATCTTGCCCGTTTGACATCCCTTCAGGGCGCAGATGCAGGCGCGTGGCTCACGGCGGTCCTTATGCAGATCCACTGCGCATCCCGGAGGCGCAGTGGCAGGTGGCTTCATGTTTTCGCCTTGGTCTGTCTATCCCCCAGTTAGCCCTTACAGGTCATTGCTCGTGCGGACGGGAGATCGAGGACATGTCGGTGCCCACCACGTCGTACGCTGTCAGCACTACCACGTCACCACGACCGTCCACAACGCCGTGAAGTACGTCCTTCCGCGACATCGCGCGCGAGGCGGGTTTCCGCGGTCAGGGTGGAGGACACGGCGCTCATCCCACACCTGGAGGAGGTGCGACGGCGCTTACAGCCCAGCAGCAGCGGGAGGGGGCACAGGCGGGAGGGCCTACGCTGGCACAGGGACGGACTCGGACAGGACGGGGGGCACAGAGGGCCCAGGGAGGGGAGGAGGGACGGCAGGGAGGGGGGGGAGGGACAGCAGGGAGGGGGGAGGGACAGCAGGGAGGGGGGGAGGGACAGCAGGGTGGGGGGAGGGACAGCAAGGAGGGGGGGGAGGGGCAGCAGGGTGGGGGGGAGGGACACGAGGGAGGGGGGGGAGCACCAGGACAGCAGGGAGTGTGGGGACTGCCGGGGACAGTCGGGACAGCAGGCACGGCTGGTGCCGCAGACGCGGGGACAGAGGCGGGAGTCCTTGGACAGGGGCCACGGCCACAGGGACAGCCCGTTTCACACGGTGGACGGTACAGCCGCAGCAGCCGCAGCTGAGGGAGGGCCAGGGGAGGCGCCTGGGGCGAGGGAGACGGGGGGCTCAGGAAGGGGGAAGGGCGGATGGGGCTCGGGGGGAAAGGACTCAGGGTACCGCAGGAGAGGGGGGGGCAGCCCGACCACAGGGTGGTGGGGGGGAGGAGATCGAGGAGATAGTCATGGTCGAGGGAGGGGGTCAGATAGCAGGGGACCGAGCACGGGACGGGCCAGAGGCAGCTAGAGGGGCCAGAGGGGTGTGGAGCTTGATCCCCGCCAGGGGACAGGGGCACAGGAGGCGAGAGAGTGGCAACGGGGAGGGGGATAGCAGGGGGGACGGGGGGGGGCGAGGGAGTGGGGAGGACGGGAGGAGCGGGGCAGGTAGATGGAGAGGGTCTGGGGAGGGGATAGGAGAGGCAGGTGGGTTGGGAGGGGTAGGGGCAAGGGAAAGGGAAGGGAGGGTGAGAGAGGAGGATGAGGGGGGGACAATGGCACAAGGAGGAGGGGGACCAGGGACACGACTAGGCAGCAGCCCACACTGCAGCACAGCACAGCGGAACGCGCAGGCCGCGCAGGAGCACCCGACGCATCCCGACCTCACATGCCGCGACGCTGAGAAGGCACTCATGATTATTATAGACGTGTCGATAGCGGATCCACAGCGGGGTGGGGAACGCACAGTTTCGGCGAGCGGCATCCCACACAGCGGGGGGTGGCGGCGACGAGCGGGTGCAGGAGAAGATCAGGGACTGGCGGCCGGCCTTGGTAGGGTGCAGCCGGAGCCGATGTTCTATGCGTGCGTTGCTGAGACTTTCGGGCACTTGAGCGTGCCACTGCGAGATTTTCTGGGGCTCTGCTCACAGCGCATAGCGACGCAGCGGCGGGACGCGGGTAGTGGGGAGGAGGCATCGGCTCGGATCTTTGAGTGCGCTCTCACCACGCGAGTTTCAGTGCGCTGCAGCGTGCGCAGGCGAACATTATCACACAGCATGCAGTGCGACAGCTGGGAGAGTCGGACGATGCATGGATGCCGATACCGGTACCCGCTTGGCGCAGGCAGCTGGAGCGGACATCACATCAGTGGCTGCTTTGACAGTGTGCCGATATGCAGTACCTGTTTGATGGCTATGTGTAGATGAAAACAAGAGTAGGCTGTGCTTGAAACGCTGTGTCTGCGCTGTAGGCGCGGGTTGCTGCTTTGTCGTGTCCCTTGGACCCCTCCCTCCTTACAGTCACACCCTCCTCTCTTCCACCTCTCTCACCTCCCCCTTTCTTTTCCCTTACTCTTATCTTTCTTGATTCCTCCTACTTCTTCTATCCTTCTTTCTTTCCCTCTCTTTCTACCTTCCCTTCTCTTCTTTCCTCTCTACTTTCTCTTCTCTTCTTTCCCTTCTCTTCCTAACTTCCAAAAACATTACTGTGGTCGTATAGCGTAACATTCATGCCGAAATTTCCAACTTCGGTTTCATATTGGCTATATGACTTGTAACTCTCTTTGTTATTAATAAAATAACTGCTCTCGCCCACTGGCGCTTAGCTGCGGAGTTCTGATGGGATCCGGCGTAGTAGCCAAGGTATGATCGTACCACGTGCAGTCCTGTCCGCGGTCCGCTTCCCACTCCTCCCCCGAGGCAGCTCCCCTCTTTATAGTCACATCCGCGGTCGTGCCCGCAAGAAGGCTCGCCATCTCGCTGGGGGCGGAATGGACGCCCATACGTAGTCGCGCTCCGTGGCGTCCTATGCAGAAGAGCGGCCCTCCGCAGAGCGGCGCGACATCGCCGCCCGGGCGGTTCGGAGAAGAAATCCTCCTTTCTTTTTCCCACTGGCCCCTCCCGGGCACGGGAGCAGGCAGAAAATGGGTACGACACGAGGACTTCCCGGGAGGTCACCCTGCCCAGTACTGCTCTCGCCCACTGGCGCTTAGCTGCGGAGTTCTGATGGGATCCGGCTAGTAGCCAAGGTATGATCGTACCACGGCAGTCCTGTCCCGCGGTCCGCTTCCCACTCCTCCCCCGATGGCAGCTCCCCTCTTTATAGTCACATCCGCGGTCGTGCCCCGCAAGAGGCTCGCCATCTTCGCTGGGGGCGGAATGGACGCCCATACGTAGTCGCGCTCCGTGGCGTCCTATGCAGAGAGCGGCCCTCCGCAGAGCGGCGCGACAATCGCCGCCCGGGCGGTTCGGAGAAGAATCCTCCTTTCTTTTTCCCACTGCCCCCTCCCGGGCACGGGAGCAGGCAGAAATGGGTACGACACGAGGACTTCCCGGGAGGTCACCCTGCCCAGTACTGCTCTCGCCCACTGGCGCTACGCTGCGGAGTTCTGATGGGATCCGGCGTAGTAGCCAAGGTATGATCGTACCACGTGCAGTCCTGTCCGCGGTCCGCTTCCCACTCCTCCCCCGAGGCAGCTCCCCTCTTTATAGTCACATCCCGGTCGTGCCCGCAAGAGGCTCGCCATCTCGCTGGGGGCGGAATGGACGCCCATACGTAGTCGCGCTCCGTGGCGTCCTATGCAGAGAGCGGCCCTCCGCAGAGCGGCGCGACATCGCCGCCCGGGCGGTTCGGAGAAGAATCCTCCTTTCTTTTTCCCACTGCCCCCTCCCGGGCACGGGAGCAGGCAGAAATGGGTACGACACGAGGACTTCCCGGGAGGTCACCCTGCCCAGACTGCTCTCGCCCACTGGCGCTTAGCTGCGGAGTTCTGATGGGATCCGGCGTAGTAGCCAAGGTATGATCGTACCACGTGCAGTCCTGTCCGCGGTCCGCTTCCCACTCCTCCCCCGAGCAGCTCCCCTCTTTATAGTCACATCCGCGAACGTGCCCGCAAGAGGCTCGCCATCTCGCTGGGGGCGGAATGGACGCCCATACGTAGTCGCGCTCCGTGGCGTCCTATGCAGAGAGCGGCCCTCCGCAGAGCGGCGCGACATCGCCGCCCGGGCGGTTCGGAGAAGAATCCTCCTTTCTTTTTCCCACTGCCCCCTCCCGGGCACGGGAGCAGGCAGAAATGGGTACGACACGAGGACTTCCCGGGAGGTCACCCTGCCC